GCCCATAGCAACATAGTTGAATGCTGAGCTGGAATTCTGACATTAATGTCATCAGTCTGGGACTTTACAGGGTTTCTGGCCCAAAAGCTATATACTCAAGCACAAGGGGCAGAAGCCTGGCAAGGGAAGTACTGAGGATGCACACACAAGGGCCTCTGGCAGGTTGGGGGCACCTGGAACACACAGGCAGAGTCGGGGAGTGGGGTGGGGGTGGTGGTGAAGGGATGCCAGTTCAGAGGCTCTGCTAGGCTTGCTCTGTCCTCACCAGCAGTCACTGAGATTGACAGCAGACACCCAAAGCTGTCTGCGTGGGAAGCCAGGGCCTCTGCAGGGCTTCAGGGTCCTGGGGGTGAATAGCTTTCCCTCCCTCAAGCCCCACCCGCCTGGAGAGCCCCCAGGTGAGCAGTGAACTTCTCACCTTGTGGAGCTGGCAGCGTTCTTGCTGCATTATGGTGCCCTCTAATGGTTAATTCCAGAACAACCGCTATGTCTCAGTCAACACAGGCAAGCTTCCTAAGGGAAAAAGCTAGAAGCAAAGAGGGGGTGGGGGGAGGGGGGCTCGTTCATTCTAAAAGTTCCATCATGTTTAAAAAATAACAAGGAAATCGTGTGCTATAACAGTGGTAGACATTGTCTCATCTTCCACTTCTTACCCAAGTTAACAAGAATTTTTGACAGAAATTTTCCCTAATGCAGACTTTGTCAAACTTCTCTAATCATAAGATGTACTTGTTCATTAAAAATACATATTTCCAGATTCCATTTCAAAAACGCTTAATCAAAATATCCGGGAGTATAGACTGTGAATAAGTCTCTTAACAGAAGCCTCAGGCAACTGACAGAATCAAGTTAACTGGAGAAACTCCATTTTGGTTATTGACTATGCTCTCAGAGTCCAAGCCATCCTCCAGTACCACCCTCCCTGAGGAAGTGCTCCTGCCCACATGGTCTCAGAGACAGCCAGGGTCTGGAGAGGGGGTGGGGCTCCCATGAGAGACACAGATGGGGTGGGGGTGACATGGACAACTGGCTCTGTCACCACAACTTGTGGGGTCCACCTCTGGATCTCTGATTATAAGAGTCACTCCTTCATAAGAGCCACTCACTGAATCAAAGAGTTTCTGATTGTAACGCGTTTTAGGAAAGTATACACTCCCAGTGCTGACGTAGGAGCCAGCTCTTCAGACCTAGTGAGACCTGATTAGCAAGACTTTAGTAATTTTTTGAACCAGTTATCAAACCTTTGGTGGTAGCGTGGAATGGGCAGTAATGGGAATGTTGGCACAATAAAAATGTGGTTTCTCACCTCAAAGAGCCAGTAGATAGCACTTAGCAGCACACCACTAAATACATGGGATGATCAGTCTCTTGTTTCTGAAAGGACAGTATTAAATGAAAGAACTGGTCCCAACTGCATAGGGAGAAGGGTTATACCTTTTCCATTGACCCTCAATAGCTATTTAGCCACATGAGCTGCAGGGAGCAAGAATTGCCTCCCCTCCAAGGTGCCCTGATTGACAGAGTTGACTGGAAGCCCCAGTCTACAGCTCCCATAGAGTCCAAAGCCCGATGTGGAGTGAGATGCCTGGAAGGATGCCAGGGACTAGGTGACCTGCTCCCTTATCGCCAAGTTAGGGATTTGTGGGAGGATTTGCAGTATATATACATTACCAGAAAGGAACTGGGTTGTCAAGGGCCTCTCTAGGGGTGGATGGTGGAATCTTAATGTCTATGGTACCAAGGTCAAGTATTGAAGTCTGCCTCTGTCTCAGCTCTCAGAGCTAACTTGAAGCTGCTTTTTGGGGAATACAAATGGTAACACATGAACTCTAAGGTAAGATGCAACAGAAGCAGAGGTTCAGGAAGGACTAGACATGGAGAAGGAACATCAGGCAGCACTGCCCCACCCTCTGATCCCAGAGTCTGTCCTTCCTTCCTCAGTTCCAAGCCTTAAGCTACACAAGAGGTGCTAAGGAAGCTCCTGCTCTGCATCTGGCCTCTATGTTCCCCAAACACAGAGAAACCAGAGAAAAACTGAGGCTCATAAAACCAGCTCTATACATGAGATCCCTTGAGCCTGGTAAGAATGGAAATTGTCCTTTCCTGGGAAAGGAGATCTTCAGGGTTCATGACACACTTCATCAAGTTTCCTACTCCTTGTTTTGTGCAAGGACCTCTGAGAAATACAAAAGCTTTAAGATAATTGGAGCAATTAAGTAAACTACATCACTTGGGGCTTGTCTCTCTTCAGGATAGCTTAAGACAACTGCACCAGAGAGAGATGTGAGGTATTGACTCAGGAGGGTTAGGTGTTGCAAGTTAGTGGCCTCTGTTCAGTGGAGACTGGGAAGGTTGCTGGAGAGCTAACATGGACTTTCATGGAGGGCAAGATTGAGCTCTAGAGGAGAAGGGGTAAAGGATTGAGCCGAGATACAGTCTCCGATATGGTCTGCCCTGTCCTACCACCAGGTCAGGTTTGCTGGAGTCATGAGTGTCACGGGCCAGACAGGGGTTAGGTTAGCAAGGCACACTGAGATCATGTGTGGGAAGGTTCAGTTTGACAAGGCAGGGCAGTTGGGAGGTGGAGAACTAGATTCATGACGATATATTTGTTGTCTTGCTTTATAACAAATTATCACAAATTCAGTTGACAAAACTGTATCCATTTCTTACTTCATCCTTTCTGAGATCAGGAGTCTGTGCACAGCTTATAGGTAGGTTCTCTGCTTAGGCGCTTGCAAGGTGTAAGCTGGGTTGCACCCTCAATTAGAACTTGGAATTGGCTTCCAAACTCATTCATGTTGCCTGCAGAAATGAGTTCCTCATAGCTACAGGACTCTGATCCCCACTTGATCGGTGGCTGCCAGCAGGATGTTGTCCCCAGCTCCTACAGCCTTTGCCATTCACTGACAAGTCATCTTTTCCAAAACATGGCAATCACTTCCTTCAGTCAGCAAAATAGGTTCCCATGCTTTGAACCGCTCTGAATTACCTAGTCCCTTTTAAGAGTTTAATTACTTCAGACACACCCTGACTAATTTTCCCTTTGATTAAATCAAAGCCAATTGATTAGTAAACTAATCACAGGGCTATTTTGTCATATTCATGGATTCATCCTATATTTAGTGGGAGAGGAATATATAAAGCAGAAATCTTGGTGGCCATCTTCCAGTACTGCCTATCTCAGTCAGCTTTCAACCAGGTGAGGGAAGGGTGACAAGATGGCATTTATTGTTTTTGGAGCCTGACAGCAGGAGTCCAGTCAGGAGGCCATGGCCATCACAGAAAGCAAGCGGTAGGAGACAGAGGTGTGGATGAACAGGGGACGACATAATGTATATATTGACAGGATCTGCCATCTTTCTGCTTAAAATGCTATTCTTCCTTACCTCCTAGCTACATTCCTTTAAACCCACTCATTTCCCTGCCCACTTTGTTGATTTGCCTCTTCTTTACAGCCTCTCTCACTCTCTAACATATCGCCTAGCTTTTTTGTTGTTGTTATACTCTTCACTTTTTATTATTTTTTGTCTACCCATTCCACTCAATTCCAAGTTAAATAAGACAAGGAAAACATCCCATTCATACATCTCTATCTGTCCAGCATAATAGCTAATGCCTTGATCAATATTAAATCAATAAAAGATGTGGAAGGGTCTAGAATGAATCAAAAGAGCTGAGAATTGAGTATAGATGTCTTGAAGAAAGGAAAGAAGTGGAACCAGATATAGAGTGTTAGGGGGTGTATTTCAGGTTACTAGACCTTGAAAGGACTGTGGAACAATTGTACAGGTAAGTCAAATAAACAACTGCCAATGTGTGGTAAGGAAGGGCCACAGAAAAGACAACAATGTCTGCCAGGTGAAAACTGTGCCTGATGATATGAAAATATGCCCTATAAAGTGGGATTTTTTATTCCCCAGAGTTTATATATGATAACCTACTCCCTAAAGTGATGATATCAAACAGTAGGAGAAATAGGTTGTGAGTAGGCAGTGAGGGTGAAGATCTCATATCCATGTAAAAGAGACCCCAAAAGTTCCATTGTCCTCCACCATATGGGAATCCAGTGAGAAAACAGCCATCAAGGAAGTGGACTCTCCAAATACTGAATCTGCTGGAACCTTGATCTTGGACTTCCCAACATTCCACACTGTTACAATGGTATTTTTTTTTAAAAGATTTATTTATTTATGCTTACAGACTGGGGTACAGGCCAGAGGTGTGGTGGGTAAGAGGATTCACCAGAGACAGAGTGGGGAGCAGAACAGGCAGACTGACAAAGTACACTGCTGAGGGGAGCAGCAGTGGGTCAGGAGAGGTCTGAGGCGCCATGTGGGTCACCTCCAGGGCTGGGCATGGAACTTGCACTGAGTGTGGCTGTGGCTCGCTTGCAGTGTTGCATCCCAGCCTGCCACACCACCCCGGAGGGCCAGTTTATGGTATTTTTTAATAGAGCAGACTAAGAAAACTAAGATAGCATGAGACCTGGATTTTAAAATAAGCCTTTATTGGCTATTACTCATCTCTATTCTCAAAATCTCTGCTACTTGGAATAGTTGTCCCGATGACAGTTAGAATTTACTTTAGGAACGAAAAGGGGTAAACAGCCTCCTTGGGTAAACCTTGATCATACCTGAAAGGCTGTGGGAAACTGTCAAGGTGCACAGGACCAGCACCCACAGTCACCAAGGCTAAACCCAAAGCTCAGCTCCACAGGCCATCAATCAGTACAGGCCCCAGGCCCAGTGTTGCTCTACTAACTTTCCCCCGCCATCACCGCCCCACACCTGTCTGCTCACCTCCTTCCACGTGTTCATCTATCTTATCTCAGGTTTTCTACTGCTTTCTTCTTTCCTTTCCAACATTCTCCAACCAGGTTATTTGGCTCCTACCACATACAAAAACCTGATTATTTCTCTAATACCTGGCTATAGTGTGTTTGCCTCTGGACAGTTCCTCCATCCCTTCCATCACGGCTGCTCCCCTTCCTTTGACAGGTACATGGCGGTGGTGATGCCGGTGCACTACCAGCATGGCACAGGGCAGAGCTCCTGTCGGCGCGTGGCCTTCATGATTACAGCCGTCTGGGTGCTGGCCTTTGCTGTGTCTTGCCCTCTCCTCTTTGGCTTCAACACTACAGGTAACAATGACGATGCAAGCTCCAACACGGGGTGATTCACGGCCCACCTGAGTGGGAGGCAGGGTGCTCAGTCCTGAGACTTCCCAGCCTTTGTCAGCACAGTCAGACGAGGAGGCCATTAACTGCCAAGCTCTGCCCCTTGTTGATATACACAAATATAAAGCAAAATCTCATCAAGTCAATGGCACAGGGTAAAGTTCTGTCTCAAGTAGTCTGGCTTAGCTCTGTTTTGTAAGAAATGTCACTGTTTGCATTTGAAGAAATGCACCAGTGAAAAAATAAACAGCTATTTTAACTCAGTGAGGTTTGCTAATGAAAAGATGACAATTCCTAACGGACTTGCAATGCAGGAAACATATCATCAGAGCCCTCAAGTAAGATCTTCAGTTTTTACCTTTTCACTCACCAAGTATCTTTCTGGCATTTAGAAACTAGTATAGATACCTAAGTTATTGGTAGACGTATTTCTATCTTTATAAGATAGAAAAATTCTGGCTATGATGGTATCCACAAGATGCAGCTTCAATTGGCTGTATATTTGCTTAGAAAGTTTTCAACAGGATTTTTTACATATGCCTCTTGCAAATAAGTCCAGCCACTTCATCAAATGTTACATTTCTTTTTTTCTTTTTAACTACATCACACATTACTGTATGTATCAGACATCTTTACTTATTACCTTCAGAACTGTAAGAAAACCATGTTTGTCTTTACATGGGATTCAGGGGATTTTTCAAAAGCAAAATTTCAACTCTGTATAGTAATTCCTTCCCTCTCTGACTTTAGAATCTTACCCGACTAATCATATAATTTCACTCTCCCTCCTTCACCGAGCTGTTTTTTTTTTCTCTTACAATTAAGTGAGGGTTACATTGGGATAACATGCACAGACATGCCAACCACATCTCATTTGCTCAAGATCAGGTTTGTTTCTCTGACACAGTAAAGTCAGAGTTGACAAGTTATTCAGAAAAAAAACTTCCTGGTTAACTTGGGGTGCTCCTAAAACATGATGTCATCGCATTACTCTTTCCCATTGACTACTCTGTGACTTGCAGTGAGTGACACTTTCTACACACACATGCATGTTCAGTCATACGCACACACCCCAAAGCAACATTCTCTAAATGACTACAGACTGACTCTGGCACTACAATACCATTTGTGACGAATGAATGCACTTTTTGGTTTAATCTGCTAACTAAGCCACCAGTCCTCAACCCCAGTTCCATATGAAAAGGTATTTTAAGTTCAAATTTCTAGTGTGGGGCAAGCAATGCTGCTGCTAAACCAATGCATCAGTTACCCTCCACGAGCAGCAAATCCCCCCAGCCTTTGCTGGGCTGAGCGGTCGCCTTACTCATCTTTGGAGGCTGGCAGAGGCGGTCTTACTCACTGTCATATAGACACGCACACACACACCCTTTGGTAATAGTTGAAACAGTCTCAAAATCTGACATTAGACAGAATTCCCAGTTCATGTCAACATCCAAAGTGAGGAAGAATGATGAGCTAATTGCAGTGTTATTGCCATCAGTAAGATCAGTATTGTTCCAGAAACACACCTCAGAAAAACCTTTCCAAACAAAAAGAGTTTCAAATATAGAACGGAGAGGGCAAAAAAAAAAAAAAGGCCCATAGTTTAGGATGTACACTTTCTCTTTTCATTTTATTAACTAGACTATAGTAAACCTTTTGTTCATGTATTGTGCCAATGTGCCAAACTCACTGTGTGAACCCGATCAATCTCAGCTGATGTTTTTGTTGCTGTTTTGTTATAATCAGCTAATGTGTGTTAAAAAGGTTCCTGTGTCTTAAGATTTAGTTATGCACCTGTCCCTGGGAAACTTAGATCGTGGTAGTTCTGCTAAAGTCAGAGCCCAGCCCGGTCCGAGGCTCAATTCAGTGAGCAGAACTCAAGGTGGGCAAGCCCAGCCATCCCTCTCTGTCTCAGTTTGACCTTCAGCATGCAGCTTCGTCACTGAGACAGACATAGACAGCCACTCTCCGTCAGTGTGGAAATAGCCAAGTTGACTTAAAAGCCCAGTGTACAATTTCCCTCAGTGATTTTTTTTTCTACTTCTTCTGTGTAAAGGAGAGGTGGACCAGACAGGAGACAATCAATGATTCTTGATTTTGGAAATGACTGGGCTTTCACCAAGAAGTACACTCAAAAACGACTTTCTGGTACAGTTCTTTTAATGAAATGGGCTGCCACATGGGATTATGAATTGTTGAAGAACATAAGGTGGAGGAAAGTTGAACATCCGTGTCTTTCAACTCAGAGTCACTCTGATTGTCTGAGAAAATGGGCAACAAGCATTTCTGGGCATGCAGGAAGGGCAGAATTCCAAGGTTGACCCAAGGAAAGTTCCGAGGGCCCACTGGGATGGCCCCATTCCTAGCAAGAGGCCTAGCCAGATACCACCTCATCAGCAGCCCCAGATGGCACTGGAGCACATAGTGTATGTGAGAGGAAATACCCTCGCGATGTTCGCGATGTTCCAGTGAGCAGCCCAAGCATTCATGTCACTGACAAGGAAAATAACCTGCACTTCAATTGCTACTAAATTAGAAAGCTATTTTGTTAAGGAAAAAAAATTAGAATGAATAAGCAATCAAGGTGTAAGAAATTTTCAAGGGAGGAAAAACTTAAAGAAAATATTATCCGATGTCTAAATTATCCTCTTACAAAGGGAAAACAGAGGCAAGCTGTCTAAATTCTAGCAAGAGAACAGCTCATCTCGCTTTGAGAATGCTGATGCTGGGGAAGGGGAGGGAGCTTGGTTGAAAATTACAAAGTTAAAAGAATAACAGTTTCATCCTAAAATCAGACTCAACAGGCTCTCTTGTCATTGGGGAAAGGTTGAGGACAAATCTTTCAACAAGCTTGAAGTTCATGAATCCCTCAAATCCAACTGCTTTTGGCCTTGCGGGGCACACCACATGGGGCTTCTGATGAGAGTAAGCCCATGCCAGCCTCTTTGACCTCTTCGTAGAACTACTTCTGTCCCCAGCACCTGGCCTTGAACATGTAGGGCTCCCTAGGTCTGTTGATGAGGGGCTGAGTCCTCATGGTGCTTTCCTCCTTCAAGGCTGGTATTAGTGCTGATAAACATGCCCGTGACAGAGCATGACTCACTTCCAGACCTTCCCCATTAAGCCAGTGACTGCTCAGTGCTTATATAAAATGCTTGACCGTCCATTTCGCTCATTTTTCCATCATCCATGTGTTCATTTAATAACTATTTTCTGACAACACAGTTTTGGCTAAGTAATTAAGACAAGGCACCTCAGTTCTTCCTGGAGGCTGAGGCTGGTGTGGGGGTGGGGTTGGAAGGGCTCATACCCTCTCCGCTTCCTTAGGAGTCAGCAGAGAGAAACTTTCTGAAGAGCCTTGATCTTGATCTAAGGAAAGTCAGCAGTTTACTTTTAGGGGGAGGGAATAAAAGCTGTGGGCCTTCATAGATCAATGATCCTGAAAGAGCTGCGTGCTCTCTCTGCATTCTCATATTTAAGTTTTCAAGATTTTCAATGGAAAAATAAAGATTTGCGCATGCTGAAGCATATGGCGTCCATATGTATTGGCACTGGAGGTCTCCCTTCTCTTAGATGGCTAGTCCCCTTCTCCCTCCAAGAAGCAAACACCCATATCCTTGAAAGACAATGCTTGAAACAAGGACACACACACATCCATTTTTATACAAACTGAAACCACTTGGTACTTCGGCACTAAGTTTTTGAAAGTTGTAGGTAATATATACAATCTTGAGCAGACTCCTACTCCCTAGAGGAGTGGGGGACAAGGAGGAGGTGTAGCTGAAGGGACAGATGGGGACTATCCAGCACCCCAAGGATGGCAGCAAGATGAGTAGTGGGGAAGGTGCCTGCCACCCCTGTAGCTCCCTTCTCACTAGGAAACTGTACTGGGGTGCTCCTCAGCTCTGTAGCCATGCAAATCATGGCCTGACACTGGCAACAGGGGAGCTGATTTCAAGGGTGGTGCAAGCACCGCCAAAGTAAGTCCATGTAGATTATGAAAGAATCTCCGTGTAGATTCTGTGTAGATCCCGCCCATCCCGCCACCCTACCTGACCCGCAGTACACCTGCCCAGAGGGCCAGGCTGGGCCCATCTGGTAGCTCTGCTTAAAATTCTATGAACTATTTCCTAAAAGAGGCTGCCACAGGCTTTGGCGAGGTGATACACTTTTATCTTCCATCCAGGGCAATTAGAGAATTTGGAGTGAAATTATAGATTCAGCTGCATTAAAGTGCATCTCTAAGCACTGAGCACACTATTCTATTGTCCTTTTAATTCTTAGCTGTAGTTCCCTCCTCTTCCTATAAGTCTCTCCCCAAATTCCCATTCCAAATGTTACCATTCCTTTTCAGTTCAGAAAGCTCAGAGAGAGTAAGAAATGACTGCTAAGAGCAAATGAATAATAAAAATAAAAGTAGCTATTTATTGTCATTAATTCTCAAACTGCTCTATGAGGCAGTATTTTTGTTTTTCTTTTGCAGATAATGAAACTGAGGTTTGACATGGTTAAGTAATGTATCCGTGACCACAGTTAATAAATAGCAGGTCTGGCTCTCATGCCCCTGCCCTCTGCCTGCCTTAGAAGACTAAGAACACATCTAAGGGGCCCATGTGGCTGATGTTCCCTCCCCACCAGCTCACACCTGAGGCTGCCTCTTCTGAGGCCAGGCTCTGGGTTGGAGAATCTCCAACCCTTTATGAAGATTGGCCAGATGTACCAGCAGCTGTTTCTGACAGTGCCAGACAAAGCACAAATGTGCCATGTCTCAGTTAGAGGGTGGTGGAGAGTCAGAATCACAGAAAGAACATGGAGGGAGCCTGGGGCAGGAGGTGGGAGTATGAGAGCGAAGCAGCTGAAAGAATGTGTCCTGGCTCTTGTCTTTCATGCTGTGCAAACTTGGGAAACTTGCTAAATGTCTCTGAGACTTCGTCTGCTCATCATCTAAGAAGAGACAGTAAGACTCCCTGCCTCACATAATGCTGCCATTGCGATAAAGACCTTGGCACATCACCGGGAAGCTATTGTGATATTAGTTTCCTTTCCTTTTCTCTTCCACAATGGGGCAAGTTCTTGGCCTTCTGGCACTTTGGTGGCATCTCAGTGTCTGCTAGATAAGAAGGCAAAGCTAGGAACTTCCCAGAGGAGGAGTGACAGCATTTCAGGACCTGAAGCAGGATAAGAATACTCCTCAATTCATGTTGTTCATGGTGACAGCATCCTTACTTGCTCTCTACTCCTCTCACCTTTAACCAATGCTGAAAAATCAAATGCTTGCTTCCTATTCAGTTGCCACCTTTCCTGCATTCAGATTGGAGAACTGACATTCTCAGCAAAGAAGCCTTCTTTTTTCATTGCATTCAATAATCCTTTAATGCATCCCCAGCAGCAGACCGTTTTCTGGGGACTGCATGCCTCCAGGAGCCCATATCCTGTTGCTCTGCTGCCCCACCCCCACCCCCAGTCTCGCTGGTCACATTTCTCGATGACACTTAGCACAGTGTGTGGATTTTTCTATCTAGACTGTGAGATCCCTCAAGGGCAGACACAGATCTTATTCATCCTGCAGTCCCAGTATAGAGCTATATCTGACATGTAATCATTGGTAACTTTTGTTAAGTGAACCATGAGTGATACAAAGATGAATTAAACCTCCTACCCTCAGTGAGCTGATGAGGTAGGTGTGTGAGACTGTCTCTTCCATCCACACAACTTAGCAATCAGCCATGTGGGCTAACAATGGAGGTAAGTAAAGGGTAATGGGGCAAGAGTTGCTTCTGACTAACAAACTCAAGGAAGCCTCTATAGATGAGGCAGCACATCCTATGTGAACTAGGGTAGGGGTGGGGGGATGCGGAAGCCCTGCTTCTCAAAGTTCTGTGTCGATCAGATGGTGGAGACACCACATGGATGCAGAGTCATAGTCTGTTCTTCCCTCTGAGGTGTGGTACTTGGCAAACTGCTTTGCTTTCTCCTCTACTATCTCTCACAGGGGACCCCCACGTCTGCTCCATCTCCAACCCTGATTTTGTCATCTACTCTTCAGTAGTGTCCTTCTACCTGCCCTTTGGAGTGACTGTCCTCGTCTATGCCAGGATCTACGTGGTGTTGAGACAGAGGAGACGAAAGCGGTTCCTCACTCGGCAGAACAGTCAGTGCTTCAGTGTCAGGCCTGGTTTCCCCCAACAAGTAAGCACCCTTGAGGGACAGAGGGAAGACAACCCCCAATCCTGGGGCTGCCCAGCTTGTGTCCAGCTGTGTATGCCTAGCTTCCTTGGCACATAGCCTCTGCACACACCTTCTAATCTCCTGGTATTGATAGCATTGCAGGTAGAAAAGTGCATTGAGCATCTTTCTTAAAGTCCACATTACTTGGGAAGATGATAGAATCATTTCTGGGCTTCTTCTACTTCCCTTCAAAGTCTTCCCTATTCTCCAATGGCCAGCAGTTCACGTGTAACACAGGGTTTGAGGTTTGGTATGGCAACTGTACCATCCATCACTGATGGGTCCCCAGGGCTGACTTCTGGACAGACCATTCATATAAGCAATCACTGGGTCTGTGAAACCATGTTCCCTTATCAGATCTGCCTCTGTGTGGCAGTTCTGTGTCCAGGTAATGGGTAGGATGTTGATGGTGTCTTTTACTAGGTCTTTCTAGGCTCTGAAAATGAAGGTTGTTGCTTCAACACTTACCGTCCAATTGCTTGGGCTATAAATTCTACTTATCCCAGTGCCTGGGGTTGAAGCATGAATAGATGTTTCAATCACTTGCAATCTCTTAGGAAAGGGAAGCAGGAATAGCAAACCCCTCTGCTTTCATGGACTTTAGAATCTAGACAAGCAAATAAAGTACACTTCCACCCAAAGTTAATAACATTCCAAAATGGAATGGGAAGTTGTCAAGTGTGAGATGAAGACAATGAAGCACCTAAATAGTAAGTGCTTTGAAGGTTATGAGAAAGGAGAGGCCCATATACTCAGGGAAGGACATAGAGTCAGAATTGAATCTGATCTTGGATATTATGTCAACCCACAATGACCTGAATGAAGGTAGACTCTCAAAGTGGAAGTCCCAAGGCTTGGGTAGAATAAGAGTGTTGGTACCCATAAAATAGAAGCTCAGCATTCAGCACCCAAGGATAGGAGGATAAGAATATACATACATACATACACACACACACACACACACACACACACATATATATACATACATATACATAATATATATGTATATATATATATATATATATATATATATATAAAGCATTTTCCTCTAAGGGTACAACTATGCAGAGCTAAACCACAGTTTCTCCTTCAACCCACCCTAGTCTTCCTGTCTGAGGCTGCATCCCATTCGGCAATTTTCAATAAGGGCCAGATTTCCATCAGATGCCACAGGGAAAATGGTAAGTAAGCCATGCTTTTGATTGTAAGAAAAGAATAAGTGAACTTTTCTCAAGAAAGTCTCTGGCTTAACATGATTCCACTTCCCTCTCAAAATGCAATGTAGCCCCAATCCCATACTTGTATGTATAAATCTGAGGTCTTGCCTGATTTGAGCATTAGAATAGAAATCATCAAATGATATTCAGAAAGCCTATGATTATTGGGCGAAAGCCCAGTGACTACAGCCAAAGTCTCCTGATGTGAAGATGCCATGCAGAGCCACCTGCCTTAGAGGGAGTGGGGCACCGTACAGGAGCAGAGCCAAGAAAAACAGAGAAGCTGATACAAGACTTTCAATCCTTATTTGCCATTAAATGTGGGGAAACCCCAGATAATTTCATGGCTGCCCTGATCCTTGCCCTTCCAATTTAAGGTAGACCTGCCTCCCCAAGCAAGCTGAATACAGCATGGAGCCCAGACGTGTTAAATATAAGACTAGATTCTTCTCCCTGAATTCTAAAGTTAAGTAAACACTAGTAATAAATCTTCAAAAGCCCATAGTGATGAAGATCTGAGGCTTATTTAAGCTCTGTATAGTTAACTATTCTTTACACAGGCAAGTAGTTGGAGATTTTTGCTGTAAATTATTTTATAAGAACAGATAGAAGTTTAAAATTGTCTATAGTAGATCTAAGATCTGAGGATACTCCAAGGCCAAAAGGAAAAAAAAGTGGTGATTGGAAGTGAGATATTGGAGAACCAAGATGCTGGTCACACCAGCAATGTGGCGAATTAGTTTCTGTCTTCCCTTCTGGGAGTGTTCCGTCTCATCAGTCATGGGGTAGTGGTAGAGTTTATTTACAGACAGTGTAATAGACACTCACTAATATATAATCTTACAAGAATCACTTCCCTTTCTAAGACTGAATTTCCACATCTGTGAAATGCACTTGATCAGTGCTTTCAAATCTGAGATTTTGTAGACACTCAAGAATGTGTTCCAGACTCCCACTTTCAGAATAATACATCAGAAGTTTAATACTTTCACCCTTAGAAGGTCACTAGATGCCAGTTCAATCATTAACATAATCTTGGTTATAAACAATCATGCAAATAAAACATAATATGCTAAAATTAATTTATGAAAATCCCTCAAAATGAGAACCAAATATGTTTTAAATATGTTATGTTAGGTTCCATAAGAATACCTCCGTGAAGCACAACTTTAAAAACACTATATTTCTTGAAGACTCCTTTTCTTCAACAGTTCTATTCATTCATTCAGCAGTGTTTCTGAGCATGCACAGGGTATCTGGAAGACTTATGATTCCTTGAACTAAGGAGACAATGGTAAGGTTTCTGGTTGCTTACATTGATTGTCATATAGAAAAGGAATTTACTAGAAGGATGTCAGGAAGCTCACAGAAGTAATAAGAAGGCTAGGTGTGAGTCTCCCATTATCTGGACATGGTTCATGTGCCTGATTTCTAGCTTCTATTGAGAAGGGGGGGGGGCGGGGAATGAATATCTGCCCAATTTTGAAAGAAATTGGAACTCTCCTGCACTGCTAGTGGGAATGCAAACTAGTACAACCACTATGGAAAACTGTTTGGAGTTTCCTCAAACTGCTAAACATGGAGCTTCCCTACGACCCAGCAATCCCACTCCTAGGTATCTACCCAAAAGACATAAAAACACTCATTGAAAAAGATACTTGTACCCCCATGTTTATTGCTGCTTTATTTACAATTGGAAAAACATGGAAGCAGCCCAAATGCCCAAAAGTAGATGACTGGATAAAAAAAATGTGGTACATATATACAATGGAATATTACTCAGCAACCAAAAAAGAGAAACACATGTCTTTTGCAGCAACTTCGGTGGAGCTGGAAAAGATCATGCTTAGTGAGATAAGCCAGAAAGAGAAAGAAAAATACCAGATGGTTTCACTCATAACAGGAATATAATGGACCAGGCAAGAAAATAACAAAAATAATGAACAACCATATACCAGAGACATTTTGTGGGGGTGGAGTGGGGAATGGGATCAAAAACAGGGGGGGGGGAAGGGAGGGAAATGCACGGGACTATGGTGGTGGCACACGGGTGATTTGGTGATGGGAAACCCGCGGGATTACAATCAAGATGGAAAAAAGAAATGTGCAAAATGATGTAAAAATAAACTTTTATAATAATTAAAAAAAAAAAAGCTCCCATCAGTAATGGGAGTTGAAGGGTCCTGCCTGCCACTTAAGATTGACACAGCATTTGAGCCTTCAAACAGGAAAAGCATCTCAGATGTTAAGCACACACATCCCCCCAAGTCCCAGGAGTATCCACAGAGTTCCTATTTAATGTTCTCTGAGTCTATTCATGCCAAACCCATTTTCTCAATATCTTTTCTATTTTATAAATAATGTTCAAAGACCTGTCACTAACTTTCCCATGGACACATGTCCTGGGATGAAGTTCCTAGGTTTTCTTTATTTACTTTTTATTATGGAAAATTTCAAGAGTTAAAAAAATAAAAAGACAGAGTGTAGAAATCTTTCAACAGCCATCAACCAGCTTCAGCAGGTATCCACTCAGGCCAATCTTAGTCCACACAGGCTCCCTCCATTCACAAGCCCAGCCAAGTGGTTACAGAGCAAATCCCAGACATCGTAGCATTTCAAGTGAAAATATTTCTAAGACATTCTCCAAAGAATAAAGATTTTAAAATAAAACACGTAACTACAGGACCACTAAACTAATAATTTTGATAATAAGTGTCAATCAAATTTAAAAATCCCCAAATACTTTGTAATTTTTTATAGTAAGTCTCTTATAGTTTTAAATCAAAATGCAACTAAGACCTAAACTTTGAAAGTTGGAAATGTTGTTGTTGCAATTGATTTACTGGGGAAACTGAGTCAGTTTGTTTTATGGTTTCCCACATTTCAGATTTTGCTGCTGTTATACACCTGGAGTCACTTAACATAGTGATTGCTCGGGAAGTCCAGGTGATCCTAATTCAAAGAAAGCCAGACTATAACCCTGTTTCCCCTCCTTGAGAGAGTCACATCATTCTGAAATGTCCTCTAGGTGATAGGTGCTTTTTAGCCAGAAAGTCAGAAACCAGCCTTATTTACCTTAAATTTCCGTGGTCCCACCATGCTGTTAGACGTGTTCTCTGCAGGTTTCACACAATATGGTTTCTCCTCCCTGATGATTCGCATCCCCTTTCCCTTCAGGAACACCCAGAAGATAAATACCCCCAGAAATTTCAGGACCCTCTATTGTCACACCCGCGGCCTCTCTCCCCTGGCCGGACACACATGGAGCTGAAACGCTACTACAGCATCTGCCAAGACACTGCCTTGAGACGACCAGGCTTCCAGGAAGGAGAGGGAGAGTTGAAAAGGGCCGGGAGGACTCGAAACTCCCTTAGCCCCACCTTGGCACCCAAGCTCAGTTTAGAAGTTCGAAAACTCAGTAATGGCAGGTTGTCGACTTCGCTGAAGCTGGGGACCCTGCAACCTCGAGCCGTGCCACTGCGCGAAAAGAAGGCAACGCAGATGCTGGCCATTGTGCTCGGTGAGCTTGGGCTGGACCCTGCTGGGTTAGGGTGGGTTCAGTGGCGTTGCTGAGGCACTGTTTTGTATCACCGATACTGGAATTCAGTGACTGCGTTTATAAATGCTTATAATGCAGTGGAAAGAGGTCTGTGTAGAAGTATTAAGTCCGGTGGACTCTTTTAAACTTAAGCTGAAATTTATGACAGAGAGTCGTAATAGAGCTGTGTTTGTCTGCTGTGTTTGTTGCCTATCACGTAGCATTATAATGGATAACTTAAGTAATAAATAAGAAAATGATTCAATAAAAATGTCTGTCACTTAATAATGCCATACTTAATAAATGCTTACTTATTTTTGGAATATTAAATTTAAAAACTGTCATATGGTATGATAACATCTAGATTATTTTAAATATGGGGAGGAAAGACTCAAAAGAAATCCACTGAGGTGTCAAAAGTGATTGCCTTTGTGTAGTGGGTGGATATTTTTCTTCTTTCTACTTTTGTATTTTTTTCAAGTATAAAATCAAGGCTACTTTTTATAATAGAAATGTATTTAAACAAAGAAATAAAAAAGTTGTTTGAGTCGCAGAGATATGGAAAGTTAGTGAGTGTTGTTCAATCTGTTCGCTGTTACTTGTGGCAAGTCCCAACTTTTTCATATCTTAAGTACTTTACTAGAACGCTAGATGTAATCTTCTCTGCACCAGGACCTATGTCAATGGCATCTTCGAAGTCTTTTTCCCTGTCAGCACCTAGGAGGATGTCATGCATGGACAAACAATAAAAAAGTATCTGCATCGAATTAGGAAGTAGAAAAGAATAGTAAAGAACTACGTAAATATCAAGCTAGAAAATCAACTTAAGAACAAAGCCCTGAGATAAATGAAAAATATTAGCATGAAGTTTTTCTCACCTAAAAAATAAAATATGGTTAATCACTCTTACTTCATAAGATTAGCATAAAATTAGATAATGCGCGTCATTTTCATGTTATAACAAAAGAGTTAAAAAACCCCTTACCCAGTTGTTCTCTTCCTTTGCAACCTAGGGGCCTTCATTGTCTGCTGGCTGCCCTTCTTCTTGACCCACGTTCTCAACACCCATTGCCAAGCATGCCACGTGTCTCCAGAGCTCTACAGTGCTACAACATGGTTGGGCTATGTGAATAGTGCCCTCAACCCCGTGATCTATACCACCTTTAACATCGAGTTCCGCAAAGCCTTCCTCAAGATCCTGTCTTGCTAAAAGAGAAGGACACTCCTTTGCCCAACTCCAGCTACCAATGGCCAGAGCTTGCTCAGAAAGACTGTGATTTTCTGTGTTATGGTGTAGAGATTTCTAGAACCAGGATATCTCTGAGTGACAAGTAAAACCCAATTGCTTCCTCCAAAACAAATATGCTACCTCTCTAGCTAAAGCCAGACTCACATTCTGGCAATCTTCAAGTGGTAGGGGTGGGGGAGGGAGTTGGCCTGAATGATAAGCAATAATTCAGAAGGAAATGGATAAAACATAACTCTACACACACACACACACACACACACACACACACACACACACATCCTCATCATCATCATCATCATCAGAAGCATGATTCATTAACAGTGAAGAATCTCATAATTCTTCACTTGTCAGTAATCTGAAATCTCAGCCAGTTGGTCTCTCTTCCTTCAAACCTCTAGTTAACTGCCAGGTTAACCTTGTCCTTTTGTGGTTCCCTTTCCTTTTGGGGTACTCCCTTTCTCTTTCATTATGTCCTGAAACAGAATGTCAAGACTAGTGCCTCTATCTCTTTGTAGAATCTGAATGATTATGCCTGAAGAGAGGAATTCCACATCCCAAAGGAAACAAAGATCCCACATTGGGACCTGAACATCATTTAAATCTTCCTATTCCTGTACTTTAGCTCCAGCTAAGATGTTCCTTCAATTCCATTACCTTATTCTCAGAGTCTAAACTCCATCGCAATTCAAGATGGGGATGTTACATGGAAAAGGAATTAGAATTCCCACTGTAGTGTCACTGCTGAAACTTATAGGCTTCTCAAAATGTTAAAAGTTTGTCCTACCTTCCACTTAACAGAACCCCAAATCCTTCAGACCTGCAACCCATTAAGTAGTGTCTACAAAATGTCATCTTTCAGGTTCTAGGCAGATCCTACCCTCAGGAGTTCACCCCCTGCTCCTATGTTTGTCCATTTGCTTCTCAGTGGGTGATAGGGTCCCATCTAGACTGCTGAGGACTCAGAACTGAGGCAGAATATTATCCAAAGTCATCACATGGACTGTCTTTATAAAATCCTAGTGTAGATGCTAAACGCTGCCTCTCTAACAACCAAGATTAATGGTTTAATAGGAATAATTTGTAAATGTCATTAAAATTGCATTTAGAAGGAACTTGAATATTCTCACCATTTACCTTTTCACCTACAGAAGCTATTTCTTATTGATTATAGAGTCAAGATATAATTTATGGATAATTTATGAAATGTTATCACCCTGAACTTCAATAAATCTACTCTTAAGAGCTGTTCATACATAGACATGACAGATACCTGCTGCAATACTATTAAAACTGTAAAGTTGCATAAAAACTTTACAAGAAATCCAAGGTTTCCCTGGCCCCATCTTTGTCCCTCTAACCCATAAGTGTCTAAGAAGGTATATATTCCCCTAGTCAGTCAGTGACTTGTAACTCCTGAATGCTTTCAATGTCGGCATTTTAAAAATGTCATTGTCTGCATTGTAACTCAGTGGAAAAATTCTGTCTGCCCACTGGCTCTCTAAGTGCTTTGACCTTGTGCCATCTTGCTCTGTAAGTTTATGACATAGCAGAACTGGATACTGAGACAACTAAATATCTGAAGAAATAAAAGTTCATGATTCCTAGGTTTTTCCATGCAAAATAAACAGCAAACAGGTAGAACAGTGGTTAAAAAATATCACAGAATTCCACACAAAATCAAAGCCCTAAATATAGAAACATGCACCAACATTAATATATTTGTGAGGGATGGTGTAAACATTTTGAATACTTCCTTTATTTCAAGTCATTCAACTCTTATAATAATGTCATGAAGGTTAAGTTCCACTTTCTTCATGAGGAAACTGAGGCAGAGGAGGATTAAGAATTTGCCCCAGGTCACATGCAGTAAGGAAAGGGCAAAGCTGGAATTCAAATGCATGTGACTATCTGGTTCCTAAGCCAAGACAGTCACTGTAGCTCAACAAATGGAAGTCCCATATTCCATCTTGAGAAGGTGTCCCAAGTGAGCATTATAGACTTGATAATAAGCGTACATAAATTCTACTACTCCATAGGACTACACGTTTCTGGAGATGTGTTTTCCTCAATAATTTCCCACCACTGATTACCATGCCTGGCTCATGGAAAGTGATCAATATGAATCGAGTTGAGACCTAGAAAGTAGGAAGGGTATTCCAGGCAGCAAAAACTCTGAAGAGCTTCAAGAGTTAAATAATCAAGGATTTTGCAAGGAATCTCAAATCAATCTGTAAAAAAAGGGCTCCTCATCTTTAGAATCTTCAGTTCTCTCAGGTGGCAGTGAGTTGGGTGACAACTCTGACAAAAAGACCTCCAAATCTTGCCTGCACTTCCCTCTAGGTGGGCAACACACATCACAGAACAACCATCCCTGCCTGACCTTGCTTCTTCTCTCTGAGCTATCTTGAATCCCAACATATGCAGAATTCAATGTGAAGATTTTGCTCTAAAGAGTTAGAAGCGCCAATTAAAAGGTTGTAGAGTCAGAGATAGTTAAAACTCAGGCAGTCCACAAAGTTTGGGTCAGAAACCAAGGCAAGTCAGACAGGGATTTGCTTTCTTGAATGTGTGGGTCACAACTAAACAAAGAGGCACAAAGGTGAAGAGATTCACTCAGAACTGGCAATTTCCTGGTGGTCCTGATTCCCAGGCCTGTGCTTTGATCGTCTGGTATCTGCTGACATCAGAAAACTGAAAAAGCTTAATTTGAATCAACACACAGAGAGCAGAGAGGGGATGACAGGCAATTAACTTGATTCCTCCTTTCCACCTAATTCTCTCCTCATCAGCTTACAAAGGGAGTGAGTTTCCATGACTACCTCCTGACGTGGAGACTCTGTTGAGGGTGATGCCAGTGTCAGCTCCGCTGTGTAGCACACACTGGCAGAGGCGGCACCAGGAGTCTGTGCCAACCACAAGACCTGGGACCTCTTGTTCTCTCACCCTCACCTCAATTAATCACCCAGTTGCCATCACCATGCATGAAGTCCATGCTTTATGCAGTGTGCTGGTACTGCCAGGAAAGGCGAAGGACCCGGGTGTCTGAAGCTAGTTGTGCCCAATGCAGTGTGCGGGGCTCAACTCAAGGTAGGTGCTGCCCATCCTCTGGGAAAGAAATGGACAGAAGCAAGTCAGGGACGGGAGTTCTGGTGCCAGCCAGACAAGTGACCTTGGACAAGTGATTTCACCACTAAAAGCCTCTGTTTTCTCATTAGTAAAAAGGAGAACTTTAGTGAGAAAGGCTGACCTTCCTCATTAAACCATTAAAAGATTAGATACCATGAGTAAGAGGAGTGCTTTGTCAGCTGTAAAACTCTAATGAATAAAAGACAAGGTTCATTATTATTATTATTATTATTATCATTATTATTATTATTATTATTATTATTATTATTATTATTATTATTATTATTTCCTCCCTAAGCAGTTGTTTCTCTCATGCCACTGTTTCACACCCTGCCTTCCTTCCCCTTCACTTATTCTCTGTCTCAAGTTACTCAGCTGTTCACTATCCCACACAAAATCTGATTTTCATATGTTAGCCTCTACATGTGCCCAGGATACTTGGCTAAATTTGCAGTCAGACTGTTAGGCAATTGGATTGCCCACATAGGGCACCCTCTCCTTTTCACACAGCCAAGTGCCCAAAATGGCTTGATCTCACACTAGGTTGACGGCAGGTGCTTGCAAAAAGTGACCTGGCTCCCCTGTTCCTATGTGGAGAGAAGGCAGGAACACATCCATTCCTCAAGACTGTGTCTCTTTCCCCCTTGATTTCTGAACCTAATGTTTCCTTTACTTCGTCTTTTCCTCCTTGAGAGACCCTCCTTGAGGGTCTTCATTTCCTTGGGCTGCTGTACCATCTACTGGGTTGCTTAAAATAACAGAAACTTATTTTCTGACAATTCTAGAAGCTGGGAGTCCAAAATTGAGGTGCTGGCAATGCCGTGCTGTCCTGAAGTCTGTAGAGAGGACCCGTCTTTGCCACCTCTCTGGCGTTTGCTGACCATCCTTGGTGTTTCCTAGCTTGTGGCAGCGTAACTCCAATCTCTGCCCCATCTTCCCCTACTGTTCCCCCACTGTGTGTCTGGGTCCAAACTCCCTCCTTTTCATAAATTATTGGATAAGATTCCACTCTCATCTGATAGGATCTTTGTTTTATTTGACTGCAGGACAAAGATTTATTTCAAGATACAGTCACATCTACAGGTTCTGGGAGGCAAATTTTCAATATTTCTTCAGGGAATATACAAATAAGCCCATAAAATGTTGTCTACAAAATAAGAGGTCTGGGTGGTCTATCTAAAGGAGGAACACTGAGGGACATGTTGATCTTCTCAGGCTATGTCTGCTACGTTTATCCATTTACCTCCAAAATTTCACAAGGGAATATAGAGAGCTGCCTCAGTGGATCACCAAGATTCCAAATGTACTCATTCCCAAATGTACCTGATACAACTGTGGAACAACACGCCTAACCTCTCCCAATGAGCAGGGTTCCATTACCCTTGCTTGGATGCACCATCACTTGCTTTTGGTCTCCTGGTAAAAGACACTCCCAATAATTAATTAGGTGGAAGCCATAAATTAAAGCTTAGTGGAATTTTTATCCATTAAGAATATATTTCTCCTCTAATAAACAAAGATTCTTACCTCAAGAAGTTAAACATAGCATCCTAATATGATCCAGCAACTCCCACTTCTGGGTAGTCAAACAAATACTTGGCACACCAATGTTCTTGCAGCACCAGTCACACAGATAAAAGTTTGGGGAAAATCCAAATGCCCACCCACAGATGGATGGGTAAACAAGCTGTAGTATTCACATACAATGGAATATTATTTAGCCATGAAAAGGAATGAAGTACTAATACATGTTGCAGTGTGGACAAATGTTGAAACCCTTATGCTAAATGAAAATATATGTAGACAAAGATAGATAAATCCATAGAGACACAAAG